GGGCCATGCTAGAAATTATATAGATACCTTTATCTTATTCAACAAGTATTATGGAGAATCTATTAAGTGTCTGGCATCTTACTAGGCACAGGACCCAAATATAAATCCTAACTTCTTGAAACTTGTGTTCTAGTGGAGGAGCCATATATTTTAAATAATTAAAAAATAATAATAAGTAGAAAAACAAAATAGCATTGTACTTGGTATGTTAAGAAGGAAATGAACAAGTTACTGATAATAGAATGTGGTCAGGGAAAAACACTCAGAGGTGACATTTATACCCAGTTACGAAAGAAGAGCGTCACTCAAGCGAAGAGCAAGGGAAACATTCCAAGTAGACAGCCCCCTAATAAACAGCTTGGCGGATACTTGGCTGGAGGAAGAGAGTGGTCCAACATAATATCTGAGTAGTAAATGAAACTACATCTTTCTGAACCCTAATTGGGAGTCTAGATCTTATTCTATGACCAGTAGAAAAACAATTGAGGATTGACATATGATCTGATTTGTGTTTTAAGAAATTGCTACTATTCTGAGAGTGGATAATAAATAAATTAGAAGATATGTTGGGAAGAGATGATACATGGAGTAAGATGGAAGAGATATAGAATAGTGAATGAATTTTAGATATATTTTGGAGAAAATGATTCAGGAATTGAAGATGGATGGTGAGTTCTGAGGAAGAAAAGAGGATTCTGAATGATTATGACTTTCTAGCGTTAGCAAACACAGGATAGTAGTGGCACTTTCTATGGTAGAGAACATGAGGTTCTAGGAAGGTTAAATATAGAATTTAAACTTCAATTTGGGAGCAAATTAAAGTTTAAATTCGATATTTTAATGTGAGATACATCTAAGTCAAGATGTCAGTTAGACAGTTACATAAGAAGTACCAGCATCTAAAGACATTTAAATCCATGGAAATTTATGCCATAATCTAGGTGGTATGTTGTTGTTTAGTGCTATTGAGTCAGTTCCAACTCATAATGATCCCATATAGGGTTTCCAAAACACAGTTGGTGGTTTTGAACGACCAACCATACAGTTAAAACTGGCATTATGGTTGAGTGCTTATCCTACAGCACCATACCAAGACTCCTCTAGAAGGTACAGAGAAAGGAAAAGATCTCTGAGGAATCTCAACATCTACATGTCAGGGGAAGAGGAAACATACTTGATGATTAAAAAAGAGTAGTCGTTTAGGTAGGAAAGCATTGTTTCTAGACTTACTAAAATGAGTGATGTCAACTTGGTAGTATTTTACTGAAAGTTTGACTATAATGAAGACAAATATCTATTATATTTGGTAAAATTAAACTTGTTCATGAACTTTACAAGAACTACTTCCATAGTGCTTTCAGGAAGCTAGATCAGAAGATAGAAGCTAGATCAGAAGACCAGATGATAGAGAATTGAAGAGCAGATGCAAGGTGAGTAGAGACAATTCATTTAAAAATATGTCTAAGATGGGGCATGATGGTAAACTAGGCAAAAAGGCTGTGCAGGCCCTCTGCAGCAAATAATGGGACAACTGGACAAAACAAATTCAGAGAATGGTCCTAGAACTCTGAGCTTCAAATAAATGAATAAATAAGTGGATCTAGTGCTTACCAGGAGAAAAACTTGAACAAACACAAGAAAGGGGATGACTTCTGATTTGGGGTGGCCACCTTGACCCGCTGCACCCATTTTGAACAGCTGTGAGTGGATTAAGAGACAAGAAAACATTCCCGATGCAGAAGCCTGCTTGTGACTCATAGAGACAAAGGTGCAAATTTTATTTTCTCTTTCTACTAATTTCTTGTCTGGTTCCTTGCACCCCCTGGTGAACAGAGAGGAGACCTGTAAGAGTAGATACCCCCAGGGAAGGTCCTGTGCAGAGCCCAGGGCTAGATGTATGATTAAAGGGGAAAGAGACAACAGCAACCGCCTATGCCTGCAGGCTCTGCTCCAAATTGGTCCTGGCCAGCCTGGGGCTAGCTCTCACTAGGAGAAGCAGCTAAACAAACAGACATGTGGTATAGAGAAAAAGATAGAAAGAAAAAGAAAAAGACTGGTAATAGTTCAGAGAGGCACAATGGGACCATCTTTAAATTTCTCAGGGGGCTAAGAAGACAAGATTCCATTAAGTGGCACTGCAGAATTATGTTTAATTTTCCGCTATTGTTTCCTAGAGAGTTTTTTGTGGCTTCTTCCTCCCTCTTCCCCCCCCCCCCAATTATATTGTTTTTTTTCTGATTTTTGTTTTCAGTTTTGTTTTTTCATGCTCCTTATATCTTCTGGGGGTGCTATCTTTTTCTGCTTCACCCAACAGGAAATGGCAAATGGGGCCAAAGAGCACAATCACAGCCAAACCCTTTTCAACTCCCCCAATTGGGCCAGAGTCAATACCAACTGCTGTACACCGGATTGACGACAACAACCAATGTCAGCTATAAACTCACCCAGAACAGAACTTCGCAAATACCAGAGACCCATGCACAAGCTCATCTCCTATTCACACTCACCAGAAGGCAGTTGGTGAGTGCCTAAGAACACACCAGCATACATTCTTCAACTTAATATAAATACAATGACACCATAATACCTCGAAAGCAACAGAAAAATCTCTGTTCACACAAAATAACAAGACAGTGTAGCTCAAACAAATGGCCAAAAGGCAGTGCTAGAAAATGTAGTTGAGGAAAAAGAGGTACTAGAACTTAATGAAGAAATTATCTAAGAGAATGATATTTAAGTACTTCCAAACTATTAGATCCTAGTGTGGTGCTGCAGGATAATGCACTGGACCACAAGGTCAGTTTGAGCCACAAGTTTGG